TTTTTTTTTTTTCCTTTCAAGGGTAAACATTTTATTTTTGAGGAACTTTATAATGCACGTTTTCTTTCTTTCTGTTTTCTTTTTAATGTTTATTTATTTTTGAGAGACAGACAGAGTGTGAGCAGGGGAAGAACAGAGAGAGAAGGAGACACAGAATCGGAAGCAGGCTCCAGGCTCTGAGCTGTCAGCACAGAGCCCGATGCGGGGCTCCAACTCACGAACCGTGAGATCATGACCTGAGCTGAAGTCGGACGCTTACCGACTGAGCCACCCAGGTGCCCCACTCTTTTTTTTAAGTAGGCCTCATGCCCAGTGTGGAGCCCAATGCGGGGTGGAACTCACAACCCTGAGATCAGGACCCGAACAGAGATCAAGAATCTGAGGCTCAACTGACTGAGCCACCAATATATTGCACATTTTCAAAGAAAGTCACGTAAGAAAACAAAAATGCTATCTTATTTCATCCTAGAAATAAATAAGAAGGGCATAAAATTTCCTTTTAAATCCTAACACTTGGAAGTTTAACACCAGCATCCAAAATAATCGAAATGGGGGGAGAAAACTTTTATTATATGTTTCAGATTTCTTTCGTTGGGATTCTCCCCATGTGTTATTGATATTTCTTCTTTCAACTCATATTACCCAAACAGTAAGAAAACAAAAAACAGGGGCTCCTGGGTGGCGCAGTCGGTTAAGCGTCCGACTTCAGCCAGGTCACGATCTCGCGGTCCGTGAGTTCGAGCCCCGCATCAGGCTCTGGGCTGATGGCTCAGAGCCTGGAGCCTGTTTCCGATTCTGTGTCTCCCTCTGTCTGCTCCTCCCCCGTTCATGCTCTGTCTCTCTCTGTCCCAAAAATAAATAAACGTTGAAAAAAAAAATTTAAAAAAAGAAAACAAAAAACAAAACACAAAAGCCTCGTGGCTGCTCAGGGAGGCTGCTCTCTTGTCTCTGTACAGTCATTCTCAGGATCTCGGCTTGCTGGAAAAAAAAAAAAAAAACCTCTGCTGACATTTTCCTTCTCTAGTTGTTTGTTTCCTAAGGAATGATAGTAAACATTCAAATGCCCACATCTTGGTTAGTCTTCCACTTTATCACCTGGATGTTTCTTTGGTGCTGGTAAGGCCATTGCCTGCTGTTTACTTTGTTGCATTTTTTGAACACTTAATTTTTTAGGTTACCAGTTGATGGTGAAGGTGCCTGGAAGCCTGATGTTAGTTACTAAAACCAAATTCCAACACCCCAACCCAAAACCTCTAGGACGGTCATAAGAGGCAGTCATAAGAGGAAAGTATACAGCAATCCAAGCCTTTCTAAAGAAGGAAGAAAGATCTCAGACACACAACCTAACCTTATGCCTTAAAGAGCTGGAAAAAGAACAGCAAATAAAACCCAAAACCAGCAGAAGACAGGAAATAAAACCAAATTCCAACCACCATGCAACGCTGGTCAGGGAAGCTGACAGGGGCGTAACAAAGTGGTGAGCAAAATTGCAGCCGTCACACACACACACACACACACACACACACACACACACACACACACACAGAGTCATTAGGAATGGTTGATTTGCAGAATACTGGCGATATCTGATCCTTGTCTTTGAGGAAGGGAATAGGGTTGCTTTCAGAATGGCTCCTTTTCAAGTTCCCTTGGTTTTGCTATAGGGTGAGCCCCACCTACTCTGGTTTGAGTAGCATGCTGGATGAAGTTCCTTAGAGTTAGGTCTCAGGATAATTCAAGTCACTGATGAGCACTGTAGTGAGATTCTTGGCAACATAAAGGAACTGCCTCCTTCTGCCTGCTCTCTTCCCACCCCCATCATCTCCCTGACTCGGACTGCTTTATTTTGTCTCAGCAGGCACCTGAACATAGCAGATACTACAGGATTCTCCCCTGGTCCTGGGCTTTCTACCTAAGAAAGGCTGTTCTCTATCTGGTCCCAAAGGTTCCTCTCCTCAAAGTCAAGCTAACTTTGGCCTGAATTGCCCGGGATTTATCCTCCTTCCCCTACACCAACCCCACCACTGACGTTGCTTCGGCTCTGGTTTCTAGAAAACCAGAAGCTGCCCTTGCCTCCTCCTTCTATCCTTTTCAGTTTGTTCAAAATATCCATCACCGAGGCATTCTGGTTGGTTTGCCCTTCATTGAGTCTCAGTGCCTTTTCGCTACATTATGCAGTTGGCATCTGGGTGACCACAATGGCAGGTGCCACTAATGGGGAATCCATCTGTCTTGCATAGGATCTTCCAACAGCAGCTGCTACTTCCTGTTTGAAATCTCAAACCCCAAGTAGACCCACAAGTAAGTCAGAGTTTCCAGACAGAGGGACTTTTCTAGTGCTCAGCTCATTTGCACAAGGGAGATGACACTAAACCCAGGGGGCACCGGGGCCCCTCCCAGCCCAGGCGACCAGCTCTGCCAATCCCGCTCGTCTACCCTGGCTTTCTCCGATGATTCAACTGTGGGCTACACTCCTTCCCCGTAAGAGGATTTTCCTCCACTCTAGACTCCACCAGGACATTCTCCCGTATCGAATAGTGTTTTTCACACCTCAGTTGTTCATATACTGTACTCAGAATTTTTGTCATGGTTTAGTATCACCTATACTATTAGTTTTCTTTGATGAACTCAGCTTTTATCTTTAAATTTAATTTACTTCCCTGTTGTCCTAAATAATATTATTTTCACGATTAGCAGTTTGAAGCACCAATTATATATTATCAAACACACATTAACGAAACACGTAATTATGAGAACTGAGTCCATCTGTGTCAACAGAACACAACCGTTTGTTCCAAGAAATCCTTGCCCAGGAAAATAAGATCGTACACCAATAAATACCTTTGCTGTTTGCTTCAGGAAATTTCTGCAAATGACTTTATTCAGGAAAACAGTGTGCCCACCTGAGAAAACATCAGATAGCAGTTTACTCCTGCAGATCCTCGCCTTGCTGTGTCCTCCCATCCCAAACCCGGCCCCCGTCCATTCTCTGCCTTGAGAGACCGACCTTCAACCACTTGAGCCCAGACCTCAAAACCTGTAAGTTTTCTTCTTTGAGCTCTGCTTCCTGGCACATAACTAAAACTGTCAGAGGAGTGCTCTCCTCTTTTGGAATAAGTCTAATAAACAGCTTTGCTTGCTCAGGCTTATTCTGATGATCTTTTCATTAGCAAGAATGAAACTTTAAAAAAATGTTCACCTGTGCACCACCTAAAATCATCTCATTCACTATGAAGGGTGCACATCGTATGAATTGACCAAGATTCCATCTAAAAATGATAATGGGGGCTCAGTTGGTTAAGCCTCTGACTCTTGAATTTGGCTCCAGTCATGATCTCACAGTTTGTGAGTTCAAGCCTCGCATTGGGCTCTGTGCTGACAGTGTGGAGCCTGCTTGGGATTCTCTCTCCCTCTCTCTTTCTCTCTCTCTCTCTCTCTGCCCCTTTCTGCTCATTCTCTCTGTCTCTCTCTCAAAATAAATAAATAAACTTTAAAAAAAAAAAACCACCTTAAAAACGATAGTAAGAGAGTGGTTCCTCTAGCAATTTGTGCTCAGCCAGTCCCTTCTCTTCTCTTCCCCTCCTTATTTCCACCCCCTTACCTGATCCTCACTACCAAGGCCCTTTTTGTGCCTCAGCTCCCTGCCTTCTATGTCTCTGAAGGCAGGACACAAATGAGGGGCAAAGGCGATGACCCACAGATGAGCAGATCATACAGTAGTGAGAGATACGAAGTAATAACCAGCCTCTGTGGTTTGAAAAGAGTGTTAACTTAAAACACAATAATCTGTCATTCGTGGAGTCAGTTATCACATGGGCCTCTCTGTACTGTAGCAAAATTTCAAGTAAATTGAAAAGTCTCCACTCCAATACAGAGCAGTATCACGCCCAGGTGGTTGCCCACATGGGATGATTTCAGAGTTTCAGGAAGGCTCCTCTGCCCCAACTGTCTTGCCTTTCCCCCCCATTTTCCCCACAACTCATAGATGTTATGAAACTTTAACTTTAACTTTTTAACTTTAAGCACTACCTTTCTGGTCCATCAAGGACAAAAATATCTGGGGAGATATGACAATAACAACCACTGATATTTATTGATCATTGTCTTAGTCAGTTCCAGCTGCTATAACAAGAGTACCATAGGCTGAGGGCTTCAACAACAACCATTGGTCCTCACAATTCTGGAGACCAGAAGTCCAAGATCAAGGTTCTACAGATCTGTGTCTGGTGGGGACTCTCTTCTTGATTTGCAGATGGCCGCCTTCTTTGGGTGTCCTCACCTGGTGAGGAGAGAGAGAGGGCAATCTCATGTCTCTTCTCGTAAGGGCACTAACCCCATTCATAAGTGCTCCACCATTATGACTTAATCACCTCCCCAAAGCCCCACCTCCCAATTCCATCACACTGGGGATTAGACTTCAATGTATGAATTTCAGGGAACATAAACATTCAGTCCATAACAATCATTTACTATGGATAAGATCTGTTCCCATGTGTCTAAGTGCACTATATGTTGATTCTTAAAGAGCCCTGTGGATGGGAGGGACTGTTTTCCACAATTTAGAGATGAGAAAACTGAGGTTTCAAAAGGTTTGACAACTTGACCAAGGCCACTCAGCTGGCAAATGGCAGACCCAGGCACCCTCTGGGTTAATGCTTCACCAACATTACCAAGAATATCCATTCATTCATCATAATGCAAAAACATCTGATGTTGGTATAACCTTCATTGTTCTTACAGCTTGCACATTCATCTTCTTATTTCCTCACAAGGACACCCACTTGAGAAGGCATGATAGGTTCTATTGTTAGCCATAGTTTGTCAATTCCATTTCCTCTGGGATAAGGAAACTTGCTGCAGCAGGTTAGGGAAGAAAGGAAGGAGCAGAGAGAGACTGGGGAGAGACTGAGCTGAAGGGAAAGGGCACAAAATAGAGCTGAATTCATTATCAACAATAGGCAAACTATGGAGAAAGCCCAAATGTCCATTGACTGATGAACGGATAAAGAAGAAGTGGTACATACATACAATGGAATATTACTCAGCCATCAAAAAGAATGAAATCTTGCCATTTGCAATGACATGGTTGGAGTTAGAATGTATTATGCTAAGTGAAATAAATCTATCAGAGAGAGACAAATATCATATGAATTCACTCATATGTGGAATCTAAGAAACAAAATAGATGAACATATGGGAGGAGCAAGGAAGAGACGAGAGGGAAACAAACCACAAGAGACTCTTAAGGGTAGAGAACAAACTGAGGGTTGATGGAGGGAAGTGGGCGGGAGATGGGCTAGATGGGTGATAGATATTAAGGAGGGCACCTGTTGTGATGAGTACGGGGTGTTGTATGTAAGTGATGAACCACTGAATTCTACTCCTGAAACCAATATTGCACTATATGTTAACTAAAATTTCAATTAAAAATATTTTTTTAAATAAAGCTGAACTCATAGATACAGAGAACAGATTGGTGGTTGCCAAGGGCAGGAGGTGGGGGTAGACAAAATGAGTGAAGGAGTTCAAAAGGTACAAAATCCCAGTTATGAAGTAAGTCAGTAAGTCCTAGTGATGTAATGTACAGCATGGTGACTGTGGCTGACAATACTGGATTGTGGGTTTGAAAGTTGCTAAGAGAATAAATCTTAAAAATTCTCATCACAAGGGAAAAATGTAACTATCTATGGGGATGGATATTGACTAGAATTGTTGTGGTGATCACCTTGCAGTACATACAACTATTGAATCACGTTATACACTGAAACTAATATAATGTTATATGTTGATTTCTCAGTAAAAGGAATGGAGCTGGGTCCTCTCTCTTCCTCCAGCACCTGCTCTGCTCACACAAAACACTGTTGTTATGTTTGGGTAACAAGTCCCCGAGGATGGTGTCCCACTTTGAGAAGGAAATTGGTAAAATAAAAAGCCACTGCAGAAACGAGAAATACACTCCCACTGAGATTCACAATGAATTAAACATAATCATAAGCAGAATAAGAGAGTATAGTGTTAAGGCTTTCACTGGACCTCCCTGAAGAGGAAGAAAAAACTCTTACTGGAGTTCCAGCTCGATTGTAGGTTTTAAGTTGATTAAGGGATGGGGCATCTGGGTGGCTCCACCAGTGGAGCAGTTAAGCAGCGTCCAACTTCAGCTCGGTTCATGATATCACGGTTTGTGAGATCAAGCCCCACATTGGGCTCTGCTTCAGATTCTCTGTCTCTGTCTCCATCTCTCTCAAAAATAAATAAACATTTAAAAATAAACAAATACTGGGGCGCCTAGGTGGCTCAGTCAGTTGGGTGTCCAACTTCAGGTCAGGTCATGATCTCACAGTCCATGAATTTGAGCCCCACGTGGGCTCAGAGCCTGTGTTGACAGCTCAGAGCCTGAAGCCTGCTTCCGATTCTGTGTCTCCCTCTCTGCCCCTCCCCTGCTCACGCTCTGTCTCTCTGTCTCTCTGTCTCTCTCAAAAATAAAGATTAAAAAC